TAATGGCAATACAATTTTCACTTAAAAAAAAAAAAAAGCAAAGGCAACAGAAGCAGAAATAAGCGGGACTATAGCAAACTAAAAAGTTTCTGCACAGCAAAGAAAACCATCAACAGAGTGAAAAGACAACCTCCAAAGAGGAGAAAATATTTAAAAGCTATATATCTGATAAGGAGTTAATATGCAAAATACAAAAAGAACCCATATAACTCAGTAGCAAAAAACCAAATGATTCAATTAAATAATGGGCAAAGGACCCATTGAACGGACATTTTCCCAAAGGAGATATACAAATGGCCTACAGGTATATAAAGAGGTACTCAGCATCACTAACCATCAGGGAAATGTAAATCAAAACCACAATGAGATATTCATTCAACCTGTTAGGATGGTTATTATACCACAGACAAAACATAACAAGTGTTCACAAGGATGTAAAGAACGAATATACATGGAATGTGAATTGATACAAACATCATGAAGAACAGTATGGAAGTTCCTAAAAAAGTTGAAAATGAAACTATCTTATGATCCAGTAATTCTGCTTCTGGGTATATATCTGAAGGAAATGAAAATAATATCTTGAAGAGATAACTGCAGTCCCTTGGTCATTGCAGCGTTATTCACATAGTGAAGACATGGAAACAACCTAAGTGTTTGTCAATGGATGAATGGGTAAAGAAAATTTGAAATCTATATATTACATGTACATATGTAAGTACACATATATGCAGTGGACTATTATTCAATGTTAAAAAGAAAGAAATCCTGCCATTTTGGACAATTGGATGAACGTGGAGGATATTATGCTAAGTGAAATAAACCAGACACAGAAAGCAAATCGTATGTGATTTCACTTATATGGTGAATCTAAATTAGTTGAACTCATGGAAAAGAGCAGAAAGGTGTTTGCCAGTTCTTGGAGGGGGTTGGGCATGAAATGGAGAGATATTGGTCAAAAGGTACAAACTTTCAGTTATGGAATAATTTTTGGTGATCTAGTGTACAAGGTGACTATTGTTATTAAAACTTTACTGTATACTTGAAATTTCCTAATGGTGTAGATCATAAGTATTCTTATCTAGAAAAAAGGTAACTATGTAAGGTGATAGGTGTGTTAAATTAACTTGATTGTGTATACATCACATTGTATGCCTTAAATATAAGCAATTTTTAGTTGTAAAAAAATTAAAATAAATGAATAAAAGGATCCCTTTGGGCTGGGAAAGAAGTAAAGAATGAATATACATGGCTTAGGGCAGGTAGAAATACTGATAAGGTGAAATTTACAGAGAAGTATATGTTTGTTTTGCAAGAAGAACCTTCCTAGCAAAAGGGGAAGCCTATTTTAAAAAGAGCAAGAAACCCATTAATTTCAAAGAACATAAGTTGTTTGTGAGGTCCGTGGTGGGAGTGGAAAAGGAGGGTACTGAGGTGGACAGGGATTATCGTAAAGGAAATTTATTTATTTATTTATTTGACAGAGAGAGAGAGAGAGAGAGATCACAAGTAGGCAGAGAGTCAGGCAGAGAGAGAGGGAAGCAGTCTCCCTGCTGAGCAGAGAGCCTGATTCGGGGCTCAAACCCAGGATCCTGGAATCAAGACCTGAGCTGAAGGCAGAGGATTTTAACCTACTGAGCCAACCAGGAGTCCCATAAAGGAAGTTTAGAATTGATTCCTATTATCATTGCACAGCTTTTGAAGAGTTTGAAAGGAAAAATTAAAATTTCAGGTCTGTGTTTTAGAAATGATCCACAATAACTGTATGGAAACAGTGGAGTGAGTCAGAGGGGTGATGGCAGACAAAGAGACCAGTAGGATGTAAATGTTACAGTATGTGTGTTTTAATGTGCCAGGGCTCCACAACAAAGTATCAGGCTGGGGGCTGAAAGAACAGAAATTTATTTTCTCACAATTCTGGAAGCTAGGAGTTCAAGATCAAGGTGTTGGCAGGGTTTTTCTTTCTTTCTATACTTAGTTTCAGAAGGTAGAATGGTGTGGCAGGGTTGCTTTCTTCTGAGGTCTTGCTCTTTGGCTTGTAGGTTGCCATCTTCTCTCTGTATCTTCGCACGGTTTTTCTTCTGTGTCCTAATCTCCTCTTCTTATAAGAATGCCAGTCGTACCAGATTAGGGTTCACCCTAATGATCTCATTTTAATTTAACTGCTTCTTTAAATTTAGACTCTATCTCCAAAAGCAGTCATGTTCTGAGGTACTAGGGATTAAGACTTGACTGTATGAATTTGGAGGACACAGTCAGCCAATAACAATGGGCAAGAAAAGATGATGGCTGAATCAGAATAGCCCAGGAAGGGATGGAAAAACAGGTGCTAAGGAGGCAGAGTTGGAAGGTTTTTGTGGCCAACATGATGTGTGTGGTGGGGGGGGGGGCAGTAAGGAACAAGAAGGTAACTAAGATATTTTAGGATTATGGTTTGAGTACTCAGGTTGAGGTGACTTTCCTGTTTCTCAGTCTCTTCATCCTCCATCACGCCTTTGCTTTCTTAAGTGGCATCTGAAGTCATAGGTAAAGAATGGATTTTCGATATAAACAATGAAGAAGGCTTTAAGAGTTGAAAGGCATATGGAGTTTATAATCTACTTCAACACTTCCATTTTGGGGATGGGCAAAATGTGGCTCAGAGTGGTAAGGTGACATAGTCACATACTATTAGTGCCTCTGAATTTCCCCTGCACCCTTATCAATTCTTTGGAACTATGGTCTGGAGGTTTCTTTACACAACTCTCTAAGACTCCTGAGTCCATTTGTAAGCATAATCTCTCCAGCCAAAAATACATAAAAACTTGTAGAAGAACAGGTGGCTTCTTGGGCTTTTCTGCAGCTGTTAGTGTGGTCGAGGTTGGCATCACTGTGCCCAGGTAACTGGAGACCCAGTCACTGATCCACTCTCCAGATATCCTAAGTGATGAGGGAGCAGGAGGCTGATTGAGGACAAAGCAAAAGCTGGCACCTTTCACCCCCTCTCCATTCACTCCCCCTCAGTAATATGTGTAGCATTCCTCAGGCACCCTTGACTGCCATAAACGAGAAACAAATAGTTAACTTGCAGAGATCACAATGCTGCAAGACAGAGTCTCCCTTGGTTTACAAAAGTCCTAGAGATCTACAAACAAAGAAGTTACTGTATCAATAGCACAATTTCCAGAGGCAAATAACTCAGTTCCTCAAATCCTAATGTCACCCTCCCCTCCATAAACAAAACTGAAAGAGGCTGAGGTAGAAGGAAACGTAAATATAGTTAAATTTCTTCTGAACCTAAATCTCACTAACAAAGACGCTTGATAGCAGAAATGTGAATGGCTTGCCAAAAGACAACATTGATCAAGCCGCAAGGCCTCCGGTATCCTGGCACCTTGTAGGCCCTCTTTAGCATATGAAAGCTCTGTTGAAACCTCCCTTCCCCTCACCTTCCCCCAACCACAAGGTACATAACCTGCCATCTCTCACAACCTGGGGCAGCAGCTCTTCCTGCCCACGGGTCCTGTCCCTGTGCTTTAACAAACCACCATTTTGCACCAAAGATGTCTCAAGAATTCTTTCTTGGTCATCAGCTCCAGACCTCAGCCCACTGAACCTCACCTAGGTTCTATAACTTCATCATAAGGACATTTTCTAAGGTTTGGGACATGAATGTTATATGGTAGTATAACAGTGGGGGTAGATGAGGAAACTGATATGAAAGTACTTTGAGAAATGGGTTGAATGGTTAGAAGCTGCCATGATTGTGGATTGCTGCACCTTGTCTTCAGACTGTGTCCTCCAGATAATTATGTCAACAGAGGCAAGGGATAATTTTCACCACTAGACCTGACTGGCATTGGTCTCTGAACTAAGACTGTTTACTAATTGGGAACAATTCCTTCCTTAACTATAACTTGGGATCATTCCTATTTGTGCCTGGAAATACAAGTTAGGGCTGGATTTGTTATACATTTTAACCACAAGGAGGCTCCCAAGGCTTTCCCTTTCGCCACACCTTCCACATTAAGGACGTTGGTTCTGGACGGGAAGAGCACAGTGAGCTTTTCTCACTACAGCAATAGTTTTCCGCTTTGAGGAAGCACAACATCTGAACTCCGGCATCATGGGTTCGAAGTCTTGCTACTGAACCAGGAGGGCTAGTTCAGTGGCCAGCGGTACTTGGGGCAAGTCACTTAAACTCTCTGTGACTTCATTTCCTCTTCTGGCAAAGGAACACAATACTAAATTCTTACCTCATGGAGCTGTTGTTAGGAAGAAAGGAGATTATGTATGTAAAGTACTTAGGACAAGCCTTTGCACACAATAAGTAAATTCTCAGTAAATGCAGTGGTTGGGGGCAGTGTTTGTCTGATTTTTGTTTTGGGGTGAGGGTTGGTTGGTTGGTGGTTGGTTTGTTCTTTGTTTTGTTTTACTCTTTTCCGCTTCCATTTGGGTGGGGGTGGCAATGGTTGCTTCCTGGTCAGAAGACATGCCAATCTTCGGAAAGCTAAGAATGATTAAGGAATTGGGGTAATGGATAAATTCCAGAAGTGAGCCCATGAGGCAGAGCCTTGGGCTGAACCTTGAGTTAAAGAGGCAAAAGACCTCTGGACCACAATGGCCTATCTCAAGACCCTAGGATGAGTCTTAGATAAGGTGTGGCCAAGGTGGAATCTGCATTACCCTGGAAAACTTCCACGTTGAGGGACCTAGTAGCATGTGGTCAGAGACTTAGGAATTCAGGTGGTAGATCCTATAAAATAGTCTTACAGTGAGAACCAAGAACATCAGTTATGTCCTGACACAACCTACTGATGTCAGGCTACAGAGGATTAGAGAGACAGGATATAATGAGAGCTGTAATGAACATATTTTCTTTAATGGACTCTGTGAAGACCCAGCAGGTGTCTAATATCTAAGGACCATGAAGGTGCCCCAGACAGCCACTTCACCAACTCATAATTCTGGCTGTTAAGAGTCTTGTATCAGGAGTTTTATAGACGTTCAGCTGTTCTTACCTTAGCTTCGTATGTCATCTGTTGTTTCTCAACAGAGTATGTGGGTTCACACTTTACATCAGGGATGCAACAAATTTTTTTTTCCCCACATTTTTCCTTCTTCCTCTCATTTTCTTTGCAAGATTGCCTGCATCTGCCATTTCTATAATTACATCTTTTGACCCATTCATCTATCAAAAAACCAAAAAGTTGAATAAACAAATACATGAAAGAGAGTAAAGACTATAATACTAAGGGTGTTAGTATTGTAGTAGTAATAGTTAGGATGAACTACTGAAATGTATTGGCATTCTTGGGAAGATTAAATAAATATGGAGATGTAGAATGCCTAATGCTGGTCTTAACATGTACTAGATATGAGTAGTTATCTCCCTTCCTTCAACCAGCTCTAACTGGACTTTATTTCTGTGCTTGTGATGTTTTCATCTTTGTCATTTTTCAGTCTTGCCACATTGGTTCCTTCTTGAACCCCAAATCTAGATGCTTGGACCTGTACCTTCAATTACCTATTTTTTCCCCTTCTCAATTCATTGTTCACTCAACAGTGATTTGTTGAGAACAAGAGTATGTGCCAGGCACTGTTCTTTTTTGTTTTTTTTTTTATTAACTATATGTAAAGTCACATGTTTTATTAATTCCAATGTATAATATCACATCTTAGTATATATAATGCACTATTCTGATAAGACCAGAGATTCCAGATGAAATGACATGCGAAATGCTATGAAGGTAACAAAATGCACTGAAGATACAAAGTGTTTCTATGACTAAGCTCCTAAATTTATTTATTCAATATATATTATATGAGTATTTTGATTATAAAAGTATGTGGCCCATTACAGCATACCACTAATCCTGGCATACATTTGACTTTCTCTGTGCATTCCATACTTTCAGAATCCTTTTACTATTTTTTTCAGAATTATTAAGCATACCAAAATGTGAATGTATTTTTTAAAATTATGTTATGTTAGTCACCATACAGTACATCATTAGTGTTTACATCATTAGTGTGGCCACTTGGGAAAACAGTGTGGAGGTTCCTCAAAAAATTAAAAATAGAACTACCCTAGGACCCAGCAATTGCACTACTGGGTATTTACCCCCAAAATACAGATGTAGTGAAAAGAAGGGCCATGTGTACCCCAATGTTCATAGCAGAAATGTCCACAATAGCCAAACTGTGGAAAGAAACAAGATGCCCTTCAACAGATGAATGGATAAAGAGATGTGGTCCATATACAAAATGAAATATTACTCAGCCATCGGGAAGGATGAACACCCAACTTTTGCATCAACATGGATGGGACTGGAGGAGATTATGCTCAGTGAAATAAGTCAAACAGAGAAAGGTAATTATCATATGATTTCACTTATTTGTGGAACATAAGGGAAAGCATGGAGGACACTAGGATAAGGAAGGGAAAAGTGAAGGGGGAGAAATCGGAGTGGGAGATGAACCATGAGACTATGGACTCTGGGGGAAAAACTGAGGGTTTTGGAGGAGAGGGAATGGGCATGGGTGAGCCTGGTGATGGGTATTAAGGAGGGCATGGATTGCATGGAGCACTGGGTATTATACATAAACAATGAATCATGGAACACTACCTCAAAAACTAATGATGTACTGTATGGTGCCAGGCACTGTTCTAATTGCATGTCCCAAATGATGCCCTAGAATAGGACTTTGAACACTGAAGGATTAACTTATACTGCCTACCTGCAGGCTGATGTTCTAGATGTTATAAGTCTCTGTCCTGTTTGTGACTCAACCCCATCTAGATCTATAAAACACAGCTTCCTCTCAGCACACTGGGTTCATTGGATTTTCTCTACTTTTTTTTTCCCCTCTCTACTTGTTTATTCTCCCCTCCTGAGAGATAACTACCAATTTGCTCTTTCCTACCAGGATATTCATACTGGAAAAATCTGACTCTGATTCCATGAATCAATGTGTAGATTCTTTCTCCAAAATGTCTTTTGCAGCTGCAACTCCCTCTTCAAAATTAATCTGCCCTTACCAGAGTTTAAGACAAGCTGAAACCGATTAGCCCAGAACTACCTTCTTTTGCTTCTAGAAAAACTGAGTGATTGACAAAGGCTTTCAGTTTGAAAAGCAGATCCAGGAGAGGATGCAACTTCCAGCAGCAATGATTCAGAGGGAAATCATGGAAATAATAATCATAAACTTTAGAATCCCCAGGAAGCCTAAGCAGAAAACTTTCCCTTCAGAAAGCGATTCACCACTCAGCCATAAAATCTATCAGACTGTTAGAGAACTATGATCATGTTCAATCTGGAATCCAGAATCTTCTGTCCTAACCCCAGCTCCACACCTTGAACCTATTTTATACAAGCCTCTAGATATCCAATATCAACCTACAAATTTTTCACTATATATTCTAAGACAAGAGCAAGATGTCTCTTATGATTGCTTTAAAGGAACATTCAAAACTATGTAACAATGAAGAGGTGAAGAAATGGGACTGGTTACTGCCAGAGGTGGTATCCATTAGAAGTAGGCTGAAATGAGAGATGGTGGGAAGAGACCCTGTTGACATTTGGGCCAAGGATATTAAGGACACTAGGGATGTCTGCATATGGAAGGGACTTCATACAAGAAACTCTGGGCTCTTCCAGTATTTGCCATCATGAAAAACACCATCATAGTCAGGGATGACAGACTGCCCTTATTATGGAGCATATTCATTGTAAGACTGCACTAGATCTCGGTCATCTCTGTGGGTTGTCATCACTGCTACATATGTTCAGTTTTCCAATGATTCTATGACTAGAACCCCATTTTTACTCCTTCTTCCCTCCTCCCCATTTTCTGGTTACCTGGGGAAGCCTGAGCCAGGAGCACAAGAACAGCTAAGGTCAGGACCAAGAGTTTAACGTATCCTGAGAGGAGTGAGGAACGATCCGGCGGCATACTGAATGGGCCAGGAAAGGCTAGTCTTCACTCTGCATTTTATTGTCTTGGGTAAGGCTGAGTCATGGACAATAAATCAGAGAAGGGCAGAGTGCTCCACCATTCATGAGCTTGTGGGTCTGCAATATAAATTGATGATCCAATATTCAGAGCCCTTCTCGAGACATCATCTGGGAAGGTGGAAGATATAAGCAGAGGATCTATAGGTCCATCACAAGTCTCTGGCATTGTGGAGAGAAGGAACCCACTTTCCAAGAAGGCTTTCTTGTTCCTCTCCTTGAGAAGTTTAGTTTAGTTTAGTCCCTTATGTTTACAGCTGCCCTGCCTTCTTCTTTTTGTCTTAATGTTTTTTTAAAAAAAGATTTTTATTTATTTATTTGACAGAGAGAGAGAGAGAGAGATCACAAGTAGGCAGAGAGGCAAGTAGAGAGAGAGGGGGAAGCAGGCTCCAATGCGGGGTTCAATCCCCAGACCCTGAGATCATGACTTGAGCCAAAGGCAGAGGCTTAATCCACTGAGCCACCCAGGTGCCCTGTCATAATATTTTTCATGCTGAGGTGGAACTAAGTATTTTTCTAGTTTATCTCCACTATTGGACTGACACTTTCAAGGGCAACTTTTAACATACAATGAGTCCCTGAAGGTAGGGACTGGCTATAATTTCTGTATGTCCAGGTGTGCAGTGCACAATTGTTGAAAACAATGAATTAATGAATGCATGTATGGTATTCATTCATATCCTGACAGATTTAGAATTGGCATTTCTCAGCTATGAAAATGCAGACTGAGAGAGTGGAAGAGGATTGCCCAGGGTCATACTGTGAGCAAGAAAGAACCAGACGGAGACCCTCCTAACACAGCTCACCATCCAGCTCTTTTAAACTATGCATTTAGTCCTTATTTCTTACTCCAAATCCTTAATATTGGCTGTCTTTGAGACATTCTTGGACTCCAGCCTCAAAGAATACAACAAAAATGTTTCCCACAGGTTCTCCAACAAAGAGGGTATAGAAGGGGGCAACGCCTGGCACCATCAGGAAATGTATCTGTGAGTCCACTGGGTTTTCTTTTGGGGGTCTGTGGTATGGTCATTTCATACCTTTAGATGGGCCCAGTGCTCTTCTACTTTCTTTTTCCTCCAGTTGGCAGGTATTAGGGAAAGCCTGGTAGATAGCAGGAAATCTGTTTTGTCCTTGATATAGAAGTAGTCCCTTCTCCAGGAAAGCAGTGAGCATGGAAGCCACCCACTGAAGTCTTACTGCCAGTAGCTAAGATAAGCACTTTCCATATATGACCCCCAGAATCCTCACAGGATCTCTGATAGGCAAATATAATTTGCTCAAGGTTACATCATGCTTAGGAGTAAGATCTAGATTCAGGATTGGCTCACTTGTCTCAAGAGCACATCTATCTATCTAATTATCTATCAATGATCTTTCTTTCATTCATTCTTTCTCTCTCTCTCTCTTTCTTGTGATTTTATTATTTGAGAGAGAGAGAGCGAGTTCATGAGACCACCAAGGGGATGGAGAGGGAGAAGAAGACTCTGCACTGAGCTCGGTGCCCAATGGGGGTGCTCCATCTCAGGACCTGAGATCAAGAGTTGGATGCTTAACTAACTGAGCCACCAAGGCACCCTGAGCACATCTTCTTTCTGTCATCCCTGAGGATTATGCTTGAGTAATGATGGAAGGAGAAACCTATTAACCTGAAAAGCAGTGATGGGTGGACGAGAGGTAGAGTCATTATCTCCTGAAAGACATGATCTGTGCAGGCCTAGGGAGCAGAACTACAAGTCTTGGGTGGAAATTGCACCGGGGTAGATTTTAACTAATTAGAAAGACTTCTGATAATTGGAACCATCTGAAAATGGTTGGACTGTCTGGGAGATGTGGTGGTTCCCGGTGTCCAAATACTACACATGGAGTCTGCCTGATCACTTCTCTTGGGTTGTGCAGGAAGGACTGGTGAATTGGCTGATATGGATCTCTACAGTAGACAGAGTTCTAGGCACTGGGTCTAAGAGGAGAAGAAGGCAAAGTCTTGCCATTTTGATAAGAGAGGGAGACAAAACACATAATGGCAGGTGATGACAGTGCTTATAAAGAAAACTAAAAGAGGGTAAGGGATGGAGGATAAGCTGTTGTATGTGTATATGTGTGGGGGTGGGGGTGTCTATTTGGAACAGGTTACCCAAGCAAGGACTTTCTGAGTTAGAGACATTGAGTAGAAACCTAAATGTATGGAGGAAGTGAGCTACATGGGTATCTAGAATCTTCCAGGCAGAGAGAATTGCAACAGCAAAGGCTCTGAGGTAGGAAAGCAACAGGTCTCTTAGGAAGAGCAGAGAGCCACGTGTGACTGGGGTCCAGTGAGCAAGGGAAAGAAAAAAAGAAACTGAAACCACAGAAGCAGGCAGAGCTATAAGACATCAGGACTGACAGGGCCTACTAAGGACTTGGGGCTTTGATATATGGTAGAGAATTGTGATTTACATTTTAAGAGATCTTTCAAATCTGAAAGTTTGGTTCTTTTTGTCTATGAGACATCACTTTCTTCATCTGTAAGGTAAAGTATTTGGGCTAAACTACGGTTTCCTGAAATGTGTGACCCATGTCACTGACAGTGTGAGTGATAATTTAAGTGGCAAACATAAGTGTATGTTTTTAAATAATTTTTATTTTAATGCTTATTTGACCAAAAAAATCACTAGCCCTTGATCTGGTGATTTTACAGAAAACCACTTAAGATGTGGTCCAAATATGAGTTTAAATAAATGGATTGTGTTGGTTTCTATAAAAAATATTAACTAAATAATACTACAACCCATAGATAATATAGCAGCCTGTATGTTTGTAAACATATCCTTTTGTAAAAGGATACACAGATGACTGGCATTTAGGCTAGGAAATTGATAAAGACCATTCTATGGAATAGAACTGAAGCTCTGACAGGTCAGTTGACTTTCTTAAGGCTCTGGAGTCATGAATGGGACTTTAGTCTACTGACTCCAAATCTACTGTTCCTCGCATGAGGGAAAACTGTCTTGGCAAGCACATACTTCTTCTGGCTATAAGAGTCTTTATTTATATTTATATTTATATTTGTATTTTATTTTATTTTATTTGTTTTGAAATGATTATAGATTAAGAGGAAGTTGCAGATAGTAAAGAAATCCTGTGTAACCTTTATACAGTTTCCCCAAATGTTACATTTTGATAACTATACCACAATGCCAAAACAAGGAAATTGACATTGGTATGATGCTTATGTATACCTCTGTCATTTTATCACAGGAATCGTTTAGTGTGAGCAATCAATATGCAGAACTATTCAGTTACCACAAAGATCTTCCTTGTGCTACTCTGCTCCCTATTCCCCAACATTCCAACATTCTTGCTCTAATTTTGTCACTTTGAGATGTTATATAAATGGGATCATACAATATACGACCTTGTGAGATCACAGCCTCTATCAATAGTGGCTTCTTCTGCTGCTGTGTTGTATTCCATGGAATGAATGTACTGTTTAACCATTAACATATTATAGAACATTTTGGTTGTTTCCAGATTTTGGTTATTCCAAATAAAGCTGCTGTGAATATTTGTGTACAGATTTTTCTGTAGACTTGAGTTTTCATTTCTCTGGATAAATGCCTACGTAGGTGATTTCTGCATTGTATGACGTACCTAAGTTTAGCTTTTTAAAAAAGTGCCAAACTATTTTTCAGAGTGCCTGCACCACTTAACATTCTCACCAACAATGTATGAGAGATTTGGTTTCTCTTCATCAGCTTTTGGCATTCTCATGGTTTTTAGCTGTTCTAATACATATGTAGTAGTATCTCATCCTGGTATTAATTTGCATTTTTCTAATCGCTACTGATGTTGAACATCTTTTCATGTACCTATTTGCCATCCTCTGGTGAAATGTCTATTCATTTGCCCATTTTCTAAATGGAATATTTGTGTTTTTGTATGAGGAGTATGTCTTTACTTTTTTTTATTGAAGTATAACTAACATACAGTGTTATAATAGTCTGGGGTGTACAATATAGAGATTCAACAATTCTATGTTCCTCAGTGCTCACCACATTAAGTGTAGTTACCATCTGTCACCAAACAATGTTATTACCCTCTTAATGACTACATTCTCTATGCTGTCCTGTTCATCTCCATGAGTTATTTATTTTGCAACTGGAAGCTTATACCTCTTAATCCCTTTTTCCCTATCTATTTCACCCACTGCCCCAACCTCCCTTCTGGCAACCACCAATTTGTTCTCTGTATTTAAGAGACTATTTTTCTTGTTTGTCTCTTTTTCTTTGTTTTTCATTTGTTTTTGTTTTGTTTTGTTTTTCTTAAACTCCACATATGAATGAAATCATATGGTATTTGTCTTTCTCTGTCTGGCTTATTTCACTTAGTATTATACTTCTAGGTCCATCCATGTAGTTGCAAATGACAAGATATCATTCTCTTTTATGGCTCTGTACCATTCCATTGTGTATACAAATACCACATCTATTTTATCCTTTCATCTATTGATGGGCACATGGTCTGCTTCTGTATCTTGGCTAATGTAAATAATGTTACAGTAAAGATAGCTGTGCATATATCTTTTCATATTGGGTTAATAGCAAAAATATATTAAGAACTTATACAACTCAACACATACTGGAAAATAATAATCCAATTAAAAATGGGCAGAAGACCTGAATAGATAGGCATTTCTCTAAAAAAAACATACAAATGGCCAACAGATGTCCATCTGGTCCAATGCGTCATTTAAAACTCTTGTTTCTTTGTTGATTTTCTGCGTAGATGATCTGTCTATTGCTGAGAGTGACGTGTTAAGATCCCCTACAATTAATGTATTCTTATCAATATATCTCTTTATTTTGATTAAGAGTTGGCTTATATAGTTAGCTGCTCCCATGTTGGGGGCATAAGTATTTACAGTTGTTATAAATTCTTGTTGGCTAGACCCTTTAAGAATGATGTAGTGTCCTTCTGTATCCCTGACTACAGTCTTTAGCTTAAAATCTAATTTGTCTGATAATGAGAATCGCTACCCCAGCTTTCTTTTGAGGCCTGTTGAAATGAAAGATGGTTCTCCATCCCTTCACTTTCAGTCTGGATGTATTTTTAGGTTCAAAATGCATCTCTTGTAGACAGCATTTGGATGGGTCCTACCTTATTATCCAATCTACAACCTTGTGCCATTTTATGGAAGCATTTAGGCCATTCACATTGAGAGTGATTATTAAAAAATATCCAGTGGAAAAAAGACAGTCTCTTCAATAAATAGTGCTGGGAAAATTGGACAGCCATGTACAGAAGAATGAAACTAGACCATTCTCTTACAACATACACAAAGATAAACTCAAAATGGATGAAAGACCTCAATGTGAGACAGGAATCCATCAAAATCCTAGAGGAGAACATAGACAGTAACCTCTTCTACATCAGTCACAACTTCTTTCAAGACACATCTCCAAAGGCAAGAGAAACAAAAGCGAAAATGAACTTTTGGGACTTTATCAAGATAAAAACTTCTGCACAGCAAAGTCAACAAAACAAAGAGGCAACCCACACAATAGGAGAAGATATTTGCAAATGACACTATAGAAAAAGGGCTGATATCCAAGATCTATAAAGAATTTCTCAAACTCAACACCCAAAAAACAGATAATCAAGTAAAAAAAAAATGGACTAAAGACATAAACAGACACTTCTCCAATGAAGACCTACAAATGGCTATCAGACACATGAAAAAAATGTTCATCATCATTAGCCATCAGGGAAATTCAAATCAAAACCACATTGAGATACCACCTTAAACCAGTTAGAATGCCCAAAATTAACAAGACAGGAAACAACAAATGTTGGAGAGGATGTGGAGGAATGTGAACCCTCTTACACTGTTGGTGGGAATGCAAGCTGGTGCAGCCACTTTGGAAAACAGTGTGGAGATTCCTCAAAAAATTAAAAATAGAGCTACTTATGACCCTGCAATTGCACTACTGGGTATTTACCCCAATGATACAGATGTAGTGAAAAGAAGGGCCAAATGTACCCTAATGTTCATAGCAGCAATGGTCACAATTGCCAAACTGTGGAAAGAGCTGAGACGCCCTTCAACAGATGAATGGATAAAGAAGATATGGTCCATATATACAATGGAATATTACTTAGCCATCAGAAAGGATGAACACCCAACTTTTGCATCAACATGGATGGGACTGGAGGAGATTACGCTAAGTGAAATAAGTCAAGCAGAAAAAGCCAATTATCATATGGTTTCAATTACTTATGGAACATAAGGAATAACATGGAGGACATTAGGAGAAGGAAAGGAAAAGTGGAGGGTGGAAATTGGATGGGGAGATGAACCATGAGAGACTGTGGACTCCAAGAAACAAACTGAAGGTTTCGGGGGTGAAGGGGATGGGTGAGCCTGGTGGTGACTATTAAGGAGGGCACATATTGCATGGAGCACTGGGTACTATATGTAAACAATGAATCTTGGAACACTACATCAAAAACTAATGATGTACTGTATGGTGACTAATAAAACAGAATTTTTTTAAAAACCAAATGGCCAACAGACACATGAAAACATACTCAAAATCACTCATCATGAGGAAAATACAAATTGAAGCCACAGTGAAATATCACCTCACACCTACCAGAACAACTAAAATAAAAAAGACAAGAAATAACAAGTGCTAGCAATGATGTGGAGAAAAAGGAACCCCCATGCACTCTTCGTGGGAATGCAAACTGGTGCAGCCACTGTGGAGAACAGTATGGAGGCTCCTCAAAAACTTAAAACAGAACTACTATCTGACTCAGCAATTAAACTTGTGAGTATTTGCTCAAGGATAATGGAATATCTGTTTTTAATTGTCAAATTTTAAGAGTTGTTTATGTACTCTGAGTTCTTTATTGGATATGTGATTTGCAAATAACATCTTTCAGTGTATGGTTTCTTTTAATCCTTTTCTTTTTTTTTTTTTTCATTAACACACATAGTTACTGTTCTCTTTTTTGATCATTTTTTTGTGGTGGAAATATTTAAGATCTACTCCATTAGCAAATTTGAAATATATAATACAACATTGTTAATTTACAGTCACATTGTTGTACAAAAGATCTTCAGAATTCATTCATATTGCATGGCTAAAATTTTGTACCTCTTGACCAAAATTTTGTACCATCTCTCCATTTCCCCCTCCACACAACCTCTGGCAATCACTGTCTACCCTCCACTCTCGTGAGTTTGTCTATTGAGACTCCATTGTAAATAAGATTATGCAGTATTTTTCTTTTTCCATCTGGCTTATTTCACTAAGTATAATGTCTTACAGGTTCATGCATGCTTTCAAAAAATGGCAGGTTTTCCTTCCTTTTCAAAAGCTGATTATTGTGCTCACTTTGGCAGCACATAGACTAAAATAATGACACAGAGAAGATTAGCATGGTCCTGTGCAAGGATGACATGCAAATTCTGAAGAAAAGTCTGATTATTATTCTACTTTATATACACATTTTTAAAATCCATTCTTCTGCCAAAAGACATCTAGGTTATTTCCATACCTTGGCTATTGTGATAAAAATTGCAATGAACATAGGAATACAAGTATTTATCTTCCATTTGTGAACACAGGATATCTTTCCATTTATTTGTCTTCCTTAATTTCTTTCATCAATGTTTTATAGTTTTCAGTGTATAGATATGTCTTTCTTCTCCTTAGTTAAGTTTATTCCCAAGTATCTTATTATTCTTGTTGCAATTGTAAAAGTGATAGTCACTCATGGCTCTCTCCAACCATCAACTAATTTCTGTACTAAATAGTTTTGCACACATTTATCATAAAGTAAAAGTGGTACAGCAAGGAGGACACAAATAATGAAACTGGTATAAAAATATCAAAATTATTGTAATGGCTTTTATAGGATATAAGAGTCATTTCTTTATGTCTTTTTTTACCCCACACTGCCTTCTTCAAATATTAAGAATATACATACTAATATTATTGCTAACTTTATTATACAAACGCTACCCTGAATGTAGATGCTCAGATATATAGGATCATTTTGCAGTAAGACAGTTTGGCCAAGGGCCATGGGTATGGAACTATGCAGTAAAGATTAGCTTAGCAGACTTGTGGGTGCCCCAACTCCATGTTCCTAGAGTCACTAGAATGAGACTTCGTGCAGCTTCTGGCATACGTTTAATCTGTGAGCCCTTAAAATATCCTGCCTGATTAAGTATCTTTGAATACTTGAAACTTGGGCCACACATTCCTACCATGTGCTTTTGGCCCATAGTTAGAAGATGGCTGCATCACTTGCAGCATTACAACTGTGTTTCAAGCACAAGGAAGTGGCAGGGCAAACACTAATGGGTACATGCCACTTGAGTCTTTGCCCCACCCCTTTGAAGTATCTCACAAGATACCCCACCAAAAATATTCTGTTAAACATCACTGGCCACAATTGCACCACATTTCACCACTGCATGCTTGCCAGATTTGGAAACATTGTGTACCATGGGCGTGCAGCTGTCCCTAAACTACCACAAAATGTTGTCATAAGAGCGAAGAAGCAGAAATGCCCAGAGCACACTCACTCCTCAGCAGGTATCACATAGCACACTGAGTTCTCCAAGCAAGACGACACCCCTGCAGGGCCAGACTCATGATCCCTTTCTTGGAAGACCAAGATCAAATTGTGCAGGCAGCCTGCAGGCATACCCCAGCTGGGTGGAACATCACAGAGGGTCAGGCGAGGAACTCCATGTCCAAACCACCAGTCATGAAGGGAGCAGGCTAGAGATGTGGCAGGTGGAAGAGCTCTGTTGACAGGTGATCCGTGCCACTACTGGCGATTTAAGGGAGTAGAAGAATTTTGGCAACTGATACCAACCTACAGCCCCTGGAACGCACAAGGGCTTCTCAGAAAGCCTGCCATCTGAGGATGCAGTAAATGGACAGAAGACACTCTCAGTGTTGGTGACAGAGTAATCAGTGTCAGAATACTTTTGTGCAAGTTGCCTATTGCCCTGCTCACTGCTTTGACCTCAGTTACCATCTAGGTTCCTTTTTGTTTGTTCACTTTTGATTTAGCAAATAATTCACATGGATAGGCTCAGTAGTTTCCAAATCAGAAAGTGATGACTTGATTTACATGCAAAGAGACTTTAAGAAAAATGGAACACAACATCAAAAACTAATAAGTCCCTGATATGAGGAAGTGGAGATGCAACGTGGGGGCCTTGGGGGGTAGGAAAAGAATAAATGAAACAAGAGGGGATCGGGAGGGAGACAAACCGTAAGAGACTCTTAATGTCACAAAACAAACTGAGGGGGACCGGGGAGAGGAGGATAGGGAGAAGGGTTGTGGGGTTATGGACATTGGGGAGGGTATGTGCTATGGTGAGTGCTGTGAAGTATGTAAACCTGGCGATTCACAGACCTGTACCCCTGGGGCTAATAATACGTTATATGTTTATAAAAAAATTTAAAAATTTAATTTAAAAAACTAATAAGGTACTGTATGGTGACTAATATAACATAATAAAAAATGTAAAAAAATACATGTCCTAAACAGATCATTTAATATATATTCCAGAAAACTAACGCCATAGGGTAAAATGATATATGTAGTAAATGACAGTGTACCTCACTTCTATCTTATCACTGGAATCTTATTCTCCCTCTACAGTGTGCACTCATTTCTTGTTAAACAGGCTACACAGAATTCATCTTAGATTTTTATTATTAATCTCTTGAGTTGGCATAAATACTCTTTAATGCCATATTTTCATATTAAAATTTTTTTTAATTTTTAAAAAATTTTTAAAAAATATTTAAAAAATTACTCCACTTTTCTGCTGAAGTATCTTTTATAAAGAGAATAAACAGTAAACTTTAGTGCCATGCATTCCAACAAATACACGTTTTTCTATGTTCATAGCTAAACATCTTAAATCAAAATCTAACTGAAGATAGGCCCAAACACATAAAAAACTGCTCACAATCAAAATTTCTATTGTGTCTATTAAGTATGAATAGGAAATCTAGGATGACCACACTTTGAAAAAAAGCTGCAGTTTCACAGAAAATAAATGAAAGCCATCAGGCTCTCACAGTATCTGGCTACTGGCAATGCTGAGACTCTTCAATGACGACTTTCTTCCTAACAAAGGTTTAGTCTCTATGGAGAAAGAATTTGACAGAGTGCAATTCTGAGACTTTATGCCAGATGAAAGAAAGGTATCTTGCCCACTCCAGCTTGCCCTAAACTTAGTTCATCTAAAGAAAAAAATAGACAATAAGGAAGAGTTCTTCAAGGAAATACACTGGGGGTACCACACTCAGGGAAGAGAGCAGTGGATGGGAAAAACACTGTATCCTGGGAAAAGTGACAGGAACACCGGTAAAGGTCATATCCCGTCATATACCTGACATACAGCCTCAGTAAAAGTCTGGGACAAAATCAGAAAAATTTAGATCTTTTTCCCTTCCCTGCACTGTACCAATGTAAAAAAACAAACAAACAAACAAACAAACAAACAAAAAACCTTCAGTATATTAACAGTGGCCTTCAGCTGCAAGGGCTAAATAGGCTCTAGGTGTTTCTAAGTACACTTTGATCATTTAAAAAGGTATAATGAAAACTCTAGGTCAAGCACACAAAAAATTGTAAAAGTATGTTTAAATGATATGCCAAGAGACAGTGAAAGAAAATGGAACTGCACAAGGCAATAGGCAACTTGCACAAAAGTATTCTGACACTGATTACTCTGTCACCAACACTGAGAGTGTCTTCTGTCCATTTACTGCATCCTCAGATGGCAGGCTTTCTGAGAAGCCCTTGTGCGTTCCAGGGGCTGTAGGTTGGTATCAGTTGCCAAAATTCTTCTACTCCCTTAAATCGCCAGTAGTGGCACGGATCACCTGTCAACAGAGCTCTTCCACCTGCCACATCTCTAGCCTGCTCCCTTCATGACTGGTGGTTTGGACATGGAGTTCCTCGCCTGACCCTCTGTGATGTTCCACCCAGCTGGGGTATGCCTGCAGGCTGCCTGCACAATTTGATCTTGGTCTTCCAAGAAAGGGATCATGAGTCTGGCCCTGCAGGGGTGTCGTCTTGCTTGGAGAACTCAGTGTGCTATGTGATACCTGCTGAGGAGTGAGTGTGCTCTGGGCATTTCTGCTTCTTCGCTCTTATGACAACATTTTGTGGTAGTTTAGGGACAGCTGCACGCCCATGGTACACAATGTTTCCAAATCTGGCAAGCATGCAGTGGTGAAATGTGGTGCAATTGTGGCCAGTGATGTTTAACAGAATATTTTTGGTGGGGTATCTTGTGAGATACTTCAAAGGGGTGGGGCAAAGACTCAAGTGGCATGTACCCATTAGTGTTTGCCCTGCCACTTCCTTGTGCTTGAAACACAGTTGTAATGCTGCAAGTGATGCAGCCATCTTCTAACTATGGGCCAAAAGCACATGGTAGGAATGTGTGAAAAGAAGGGAAGATGTTGCCTGGTGCCCGATGTCACTGAGAAGTTCTTATGGCATTCCTTGACATTATACCATATGAGAAGAATAAAACCCTAATTTGTCTAAGACATCTTTTACATGCTTTTGTGTTTCACATTTCTTCCTAATAGGTCATATCAAAATATGTGGGCTATATCTAAAGTGATAATTAGAAGGAAGCTTTTAGCACTAAATGCTTATAATTGAAAAGAAGGAAGATCTCAATAATGTAGGATCCTATCTCAAAACCAAAACAAGAGGAGCAAAATCAACCCAAAGCAACCAGAAGAAAGGAAATAATAAGGGCAACAGCAGGAGAAAAATAAAATTGAAAACAGAAAAACAATAGAAAAAAAGAATTAAACCAAAAACTAATTCTCTAAAGAAAATCTATAAAATTGGTAATTCAAATTTCAAAATTATCTGATAAAGATAAAAAGAAGCAACTCAGAAGCCATCAGCATCCACAAAGAAACAGTGGATATCATTAAGCTCCTATAGCCATTTAAAAAGATAGGAAGGGAAAACTACAAGAAATGTTTCACTCAAAAATTTTATAACTTAAGGGGCACCTGGGTGGCTCAGTGGGTTAAGCCTCTGCTTTCGGCTCAGGTCATGATCTCAGAGTCCTGGGATCGAGCCCCACATCGGGCTCTCTGCTCAGTGGGAACCCTGCTCCCCGCCCCCACCTCTGCCTGCCTCTCTGTCTACTTGTGATCTCTGTCTATCAAATAAATGAATAAAATCTTTTTTAAAAATTTTAAATATAAATTATAAAATAAAAATTTAATTATATATAATTAAATATATATAAGTTATATATAAAATAAAAATTTAAATATAAATTATAAAATAAAAATTTTATAACTTAAAAGAAATAGGTCAATTCTTCAAAAACCAAAAACAATTTAAACTCATTCTCAATGAAATAGACAACCTGAATAGTTCTCTAACCATTGAAGAAATTGAATCTGTAATTTGAA